TTTCAAGCAGCTTGTTCACTGCTTCTTGGGACTTGAGTATCCCTAGCTCTTTGTTAAGGGATTTCACCTTTTCAGAGAGAGATTCATTTTCAGTCTTGAGTTGAGTGATCTCATTCAGTTGACTTTTCCGACTTTCAGTCAACTTGAGATTCTCTTCGCTCAATAGTTTGTTCTCTTCTGTTAAGGATGTGTGTTTGAGATTTATCTCCTCAAAGTCTTTCATCATCTTTTTGAACTGGTCAAAAAGATTTTCAGAAGTTGGTGTGCTATAAGAAGATGAGCAGGAGGTTTGTGAGGTTACCTCTTGATCAGCATCATCTTTGGCCATTAGGCAGAGAGTGTCATCTTCTGACATAGTCCACCTATCCTCATGGTTGGACTTCTCAACTCTGCGCTCCATGCAGACGAGGGCTTCTTCATCCGAGCTTGAGCTGGATGACTCGTCACTTTCAGCAGCAACCATTGCTTTCTTTTTCTTCTCGATCCTTTCTCTTTCTCCGTACTTCTCCACTTTTGGGTACGGGTATGCTGAATTCCAGTGGCCAGGCTTCCTGCAGTTATAACATAAATAAGATTCACGAGGGGAGTCACTTACCTGTGGCTTTCCCTTGGATGGCCTTCTGATTGAATCAGCCTTCTTGAAGAACTTCTTGAACTTCCGGAATTGTTTGACCATCATGGCAAAATCCTCTTCGTAGTTCTCCATTTTTGAGCTTGACGGCTGGCTAGAGAAAGGTGTGTCACAGTTTCTTGTGCATGTCTCTTCACTTGATGGAATTCTTGAAGTTGTCATCAATGTTGTGGGGAAGGGAGTGACTTGTTCTTCCTTCTTCTTTTTCAGCTCGTGCTCATAGGTTCTGAGTTCATCAAGGAGACCTTGAACAGTATAGTTTTCCAGGTTTCTTCCTTCTTCCATGGCTGTGGCTTTGGTGTACCACTCAGTTGGGAGTGATCTCAGCAACCTTACATTCTTTTCTTTGGGAGAAAGAACGTGGTTAAGTGAGGCAAGATCATTCAAGATTTTGTGGAACCTTTCATCCAACATATCAAATGATTCTCCGGGAAGCATTTTTAAGCCTTTGAACTTCTCAAGTAGGACTTCTATCTTCTGCTTTCTCAAGTCCTCTGATCCCTCACATAGCTTCCCAAGACCTTGCCGTATTTCCATGGCAGTCTTGAGATGCTTGATTTTGGAGAAGGGGATGGGATCAAGTGTCTTGAAGATGGCTGCTTTGGCGACGTTGTCCAGATTGTGCTTTTTACAATCTCTATCATACCATTTTTCCTTGGGCTTTGGAATGTACTGGATTACATCAGGAGTTGCTAGATTCCCCTCAGGATTCTCCATTTGGATTTTCAAGGGTCCATCCTCAAGCACCATCCACATGCAGTCATGTAGAGCGTAGAGATGTGCTTCCATCATGATCTTCCAATCATCATAACATAAGAGAGAAAACTTGGGCAAACCGTGATCCATATTGTTCACCATTATGATCGCTTCTCGTTAATCTAAACGTAGATAGTGAGAAGTTAGCTCCGATACCAATTGGTGGTCCCAAAGTGGTGAAATACAAAGTCTAGAGGGGGGGTGAATAGACTTTGTTACAGATTTAAAATCTTTTTCGTTTCTTTTGAAAACGTGAAAATGAGTGTTAATCTAGAGTCCTTGTGAACTTTAGATTGTGTGCGGAATTTGGTGGGTAAAGTGAGCAGTAATCAATATGGATGGGTTAGTTTTCACGGTTAATATAATTACAAGTAAGAATAAAGATAAAAGAGAGAGACACGCAAACTTTAACGAGGTTCGAAGGTGGGGTAATCCTTCTACGTCCTCAAAATCCACTATGTAGTTGGTTGTTGAATAATGAACCAACAATTAAACTTGTGTGAATTTCTGCACGGTATATCTTCACAAGACGAATGTTGCTACTGCACTCGTGCTGGCTTTGTTGTTCCTTCGAAGGTCAAGCTTCTTCAACAACTGCAAGGTCCGAACAATAGGACTTGCAAAATCAACTTGTAAGAGAGTTGACCTACCCCCTTTTAATCAATAAGTTTGATCAAAAGTAATATCCTTCAACGTGGTGTGGTGCTTGAGGCAAGGAAACCTTCAAGTGTTTACACTATAGCTCTTTGGAAGGAGGAGAAGTTTGCTTCTGGATAAGGAGTTTAGAAATCTCTCTTTATCAAGCTTTTTGTGCTAACTGTGAATGAGATAGCTTTTTTGTTAGAGATTGCTTCGTTGTGTTGTTGTATCTCATTGTTTTTTCTCCAATCTTCCAAGGATGCTATTTATAGCTGGATTGGATAATCTATTTGTTGAATCATAATAGACTATCCGTTGCATTTGCTGGCTTCAATTTTGAATGAAGATTGTGATTTGAAGATTCCTCATTAGAATGGGTGTTTGGACATACCCATTTGTTAAAGGAGAGATTCCTTTTTTCATAGAGTCTGTCTTCTAGCTGCTGTTCAAGTATTCTGGACTGTAGAACTTTACTCTGTTGGTCCTCTAGTGCTTGTTTAGGAATTCTGGACAGGTTCTTCAATTCTTAGAGGTTCAGACTTTGTCTTCGAGTCATTTGTTCTTGAATCAGCATAATTATCTTCAATCTAGCCGTTGAAAATCAAGAGATTGATTTTTCCTTACCAACGGGTAGAATTTTTTCATTCAAGACTTAGATAATCTTCTAAGTCTTTTCTCACTTGTCCGCTTTTTGAGAATTCCGGTCTTCCTTGAGGCATCCGGTTCTTAGCTGACAAATCCGGAGGAGTCATTTTCAGACTTCCGGGTGAGAAAGAGATCCGCGCTAGTCTTCCGATTTGGGTGACTTAGCCTTCAGCGGGTTGTAGCGAGACATCTGGTTCTTATGTAGTCTTCCGGATCAGAGGATTTTCATCTGCTTGAGAAATCCTTACTTGTCTCTAGCATTTCCGATTAAGATATCCAATTTCCATATCACTGAATTTGATTAAGTCTTCAGGCATCAAAAAGCTTAAAGAAATATCATAACCTTATTGGAAATCTCAAGAACTTGGTTTTAACAATATTTCTAAAAAGAAAAATTACATTGAATATTGGGGGAGATCTAAAGTCCCTATTACATTCTAAATACATCATCATCAAAATCTATGATATTTTTCCCAACATCATTGGTGACATAACGCAGGGAGTTTCTACTCGTTATTCTCTTAGGAACACAATTAATCACATGGCCTTTGTTTCTCAAATTGAACCAACAACCGTTTTGGATGCTATTAATGATGAACATTGGTCTATGGCAATGCAAGAGGAGCTTAACCAATTTAAACACAATGATGTTTGGGAATTGGTGCCTAGACCTAATGATCATTCCGTTATTGGCACAAAATGGGTATTTCGTAACAAACTCGATGAAAATGGAATAATCACTAGAAACAAAGCTAGGCTTGTAGCTAAAGGCTACAATCAATAAAAAGGCATTGATTATGAAGAAACTTATGCACCGGTTGCACGTTTAGAAGCTAATCGTTTATTGCTTGCATTTGCATCTACAATGGATTTTAAACTTTATCAAATGGATGTTAAAAGTGCCTTCCTTAATGGTATCATTCAAGAGGAAGTGTATGTCGAACAACCCCCGGGTTTCGAAGACTATGAGTTTCCCGAACATGTCTTCAAACTCAAAAAGGCGCTTTACGGTCTCAAACAAGCACCTCGTGCTTGGTATGAACGGTTAAGCAAATTTCTTTTGGACCATGAGNATATGATGCAAAGTGAATTTGAAATGTCAATGATGGGAGAATTAAAGTTCTTCCTTGGGCTGCAAATTAGACAATGCAAAGAAGGAACATTCGTGTGTCAAACAAAATATTGTAGGGAATTGCTTAAAAGGTTCGATGTTACCGAATCCAAATCCATTGACACACCAATGAGCACCTCTTGCTATCTCGACAAGGACGAAAAAGGTAAAGATGTTGACATCAAGCACTACCGAGGTATGATCGGCTCTTTACTTTATCTTACCACGAGTAGACCGGATATCATGTACTCCGTTTGTATATGCGCTAGGTATCAATCATGTCCTAAAGAGTCGCACTTGGTTGCGATCAAAAGGATAATGCGATATCTCGCGGGCACGTTGAATGTAGGTCTTTGGTATCCCAAAAGTTCAACATGTCATCTTGTTGGCTATTCCGACTCGGATTTTGCAGGTTGCAAACTCGATAGGAAAAGTACCAGCGGTACTTGCCACTTATTCGGTCATTCGCTAATCTCGTGGTTTAGTAAGAAGCAGGTTAGTGTTGCACTTTCCACCACCGAAGCGGAATATGTCGTTGCGGGAAGTTGTTGTGCCCAAATTCTTTGGCTAAAACAACAACTAGTGGATTTCGGCCTTATACTTGATCACATCCCTATTAGGTGTGACAATATGAGCGCTATTAGTCTAACGAAGAACCCCGTTCTTCACTAGAGGACTAAGCACATAGAAATTAGGCATCACTTCATACGAGATCACGTCCAAAAGTGAGATGTCACAATTGAGTTTGTTGAAATGAAACATCAATTGGCAGACATTTTCACGAAACCCTTTAGTAGGGAGAATTTCTTCCACATTCGGAACGAACTTGGAATTTTGGATATCTCTATGAACTAATCCATTCTTTTTATTGACTATGCTAATTTGAGCGTCGGAGGCGTGATAAATTTTTTTTCAGGTATCTCTTCCCTTGGTATTTAACCGAATTGGACTTGATGATTTTTTTTTGTCAAACAAGCTTTAATCGATTACTCCTCGAAGAGAAATCGATTAGTCGCCTCTGTCCCTCTTAATCGATTACTAGATTCCTTTTAATCGATTAAATTCCGAAAACGTCTATAGCGCTGATTCACTTTTAAATCGATTAATTTTGTTCAATTAATCGATTAGACTCATATGTCCATCTTAATCGATTAACCATCTCTGTTTAATCGATTAATAGCTTGAAAAGAGACGTTTGGTTCTGCTTACTTCTAATCGATTAAAAAGCTTAACTTAATCGATTAGCCTCGGCTGTGTTCCCTAATCGATTAAATACTTGTGTTTAATCGATTAATAGTCGATTTTTGCCTTATATCTCACCCAGCCTTCGTCTTCTTCGCCATTCCCTTTTTCGAATCAGAGAAACCCTAGCTTCTTCCCTTCTCAAATTTTCTCAATCTTCATCATAAACTTCTCAAATTTCTTCCATTTTTTTCCAAATTTCATCAATTTCAAAAAGGAAAAATGCCAAGGTGCAAGAACGCTTCCTCGGGTCAAGAAACCGCGGCAGAGGAGAGTGAGAGGCCATGGCGTCGTGAAGGGAGCAAGTACATTCACATACAAACGGGTCTCGCCTTCAACACTGGGGCTTCAGTCAAGAGGTTCCACAACACCTTCCTCACGAAGGAGATTGTCTCTCCTAAGATCGTGAACAAGGACCTCTTCAAATCGGCGACCTATGCCCCGAGTAAGTCTCTGTTTCTTCAGCAAGGTTTGCTTCGTTTCATTCATTTGACGTATGAATTCTTCTGTCCAAATCTTATACGTCAATTTTATGCAAATCTTCGTACCACTAAGGAAGGTTCGCCATCTCTCATTTCCTATGTTGACGGCAAAACCGTTTTCATTGACGGTGCCGGTTTGACTTCTTTGTTTGGCCTTCGTCGCGGTGAAATTACCGAAAACTTGGATGAAACATTCCAAGATGAGGCAATTTGGCGACAACTCGGGTTAGATCATCGTGACCTCAAGTTTAGAAATTCTAGCAACCCGAGTGTCATCAATTTCACTTTAATTCAACGCGTCCAACAATACATCTTCTCCTATGTTTTGTTGCCCCGTGATTCGAACCATGGCGTTGTCAACAAGGACGATATTCGTTTGTTTCACGTCCTGTTGAACGATGTCAAATTTGATTGGGTTCACTTCTTTATAGTTGCACTTAGCGATGGCACTCTCTTTTCCCATCTCCGTTTTGCCATCCCCATTATGCATATTCTTGCTCATTGCAAAATAGACTTCACTCGGGACACTCAGGTGCCGGTCAAGAAGACGTGTTTCATCATTGAAGCCAAGTTTTCCCGGATCGTGTATCGAGAGGAGGGCGATGCTGCACCAAATCTGGACCTAATAGTCGCAGAAGAAGAAGAAGAGAGCCAAAACGAGACTCAAGCAGAGTCATCTCGAGCCGGAGGAAGTCGAGCCACGGAGCGCGTCACTCGTCAACGGAGGACTCGTCCAAGAGAAGAAGCACCAGAACCTTCTTGGGTGAAAAAGATCTTCGATACTCTCACGTGCATCCGAGATGACGTTCGCCAGCTCAACGAGAGGATGACTCGTCTTGAGCAATCTCGCTCCTACCGTGGCCCGCGTCACAATTTTGGCGGAGGAGCTCGTCCGGCGAACTCTCTTTGATTATTGTTTTTTCCTCTTGACTGATTATGATACATTGTTATTTGTTATGACTCTTTTGGTGGATGATGATGTTCCTTTCGATGATGCTAGTTGATATTAACTCCTTGTGTATTAATATCATTGTTGGTTTGGCAATATTGTTCTTATTTAGAACATATTGTCCCTTTGTGGCATTTTTTTTACTAAGAGTTCTCTTTTAAAGAAAACTCTTGCCATTTTTTTCTCCCTTCAATATCCCGGCATTGTTTAAGGGGGAAGGTTATCGGTTGATAATGCCAAAAGGGGGAAGGAAGGATAGTTGAGATAGTTGAGAAATTTTTTTTTCTGCTTATTACTCCGATTATTATTTTTTTACTGCACTTCTCTAACCTTGCAGGGGAAATTTTTCTGAAAAGGAAGTAATTTCTGAACTCTTACTTTTCTCTTTCTCAACTATGTTTGTCATTATCAAAAAGGGGGAAATTGTTGGACATGAGTTCAAACCCCTTTACTATTTCTTCTGGAATATTTTTTGTTTTGATGAATGACAAATAGGATGATTAATTTCAAGTTGATCGAAAATTTATTTTCGTATCGAGAAAAGCAAAGAAGGGTATCAAGAAGTTTACGGCAATAAAAAAAATCAAGGCTTACCCCTACGCAGAAGTTTTTGAAGTGAAGTGAAGACTCCGTAGATTTTTTTTTAATTGAGTCTAGGAATCTTTGTAAGGATGACAATACTTTCTGCACAAACAAATTATCTTTTGAGGAATAAAAATTATTATTTTCTCAGTGAGTTGAAAAATTATTTTCTCTGTTTTAAAAAATATTTTACTGAGTTAGTTTCAAAATAGTGTGTCAAAATTTTCTTAAAAAAATACTTTTTAAGGTTACACAAATTTTTTTTGGTAAGAAAAATATACTTTAAATATTTTTTTGTGTACATCGTTTGACACACAAAATAGTTTTTGGACTCACTTTTACCTCATTCAAATACTTTGAATGAGTGTTTACTGATTAAGAGAGGAGCGTCTACCTTATTTTAGTTGTCGTAAACAAGGAATAAACTCCAACTTTCGCTTCTCATCCCACTTCGCTTGGGCCCTTCGTGTCTTGCGCATTATTCCTTTATTAATCGATTAAACATTCTGAATGAATCGATTAGATCCAATTGTTTTCTCAGCGCGTTTCTCAAGTCATGCAGTTAATCGATTAATTCTCTTCATTTAATCGATTAGTTTGGGCAGAGCAAACTAATCGATTTTTTGCTTCAGTTTAATCGATTAGTTCCAATTTTGTTTTCAGGCATTCTCGCCTCTGTGTACCGTAATCGATTTAACTATCCATGTTAATCGATTAATATTATCTGGTGCATATTCTCGCTTTCTCCAACGGATTTATTTTCCTCAGCCTATTTAATCCCTCATTCTCCTTCATTTCTAATACATCTCTTGCACTTCAAAAATATTCCTTGAGCTATATTCATCCCTTGCTTCATCTTCCTCATCAAAATATTATTTTTTGAGAGTTAGAAATATTTTTCTTTGAGTGCTTAAAGAAGTTGTCATCCATAGAGCTTTAATTCTTCAACACTACTTTGCTCAATTGTGTGAGCTTTCATTCTTGTGTTGTAAACTCAATCTCATTTAAGTGTTCTTCTTAAAACTTGTGTGACTCAAGTCTTGTTGTTGTAAGAAAGTGAGGCTTGTGTGATTCAAGTTCTCAGGTTGTACCGGTTTTTCAAGCACCCGTTGAATCTTGAAGATTAGTAGGACTTTCGAGAGAGTCTCTCGGAGGACGTGACTAGCCACGAGGTGGTGAACCAGTATAAATCTCGGTGTTCTTCTTTCCCTTACTCTCTTTATTTATTCTGCGGTTTTATTATTTCACACTCGCGAAAAACGCACATTCTTGAGAACAACTCTATTCACTCCCCCTCTAGAGTTGCACATTTGTCTATTATTGTGTAGAACAGCAAATTTGTTATACGAAAGTGATACAAATGAAGATGCATACGGAGATAAGAAACGTTTTGGTAGTGGTGGAAACAAATCATTAGAGACGCTGCATTTATTTTTTGTTTCTCCCTTATAAATCACCAATTGTCCCATTGCATCCCTGCCTTCTATCAAAGGGGCATGAAAATATGGGTCCCCAATCTCCTTTGAATCTGCTTTGGGCAGGGTTGGTCCCCAAACATTTGACGCACCCTTCCCTCCCTTCAACGGCTATATAGCCGCTAACAATAAAAACATTATATTTCTCCCACTTTCTTCCAATTTCCTTATCTATAAGTTCAACAATTTTTTTATAAAATTCAACTAGGGGAGAGCATCGGTTCGGGTCGGTCGGTTTCAGCCCAAAACCGAAATAACCGAAAATAAAAATGACTCACATTAACCGACCGAACGGAACCAAATTTTTTTATAACCGAACAAACCGAACCGAGATAAATCGATTCGGTCCGGTCGGTTTTCTAATAACCGACCCATCGGAATCCTCCCCGAGCTCATTGGGCTTTCCGTTCGTGTTGGAAACTGAAACAGGCGAGGATCCAAATGGAGCGGGATGTCCTTGGTACGGATCCGATCTGAATGTTCAGGGGTGTCGATGGATTGAGAGGCATGTTCTACATCAGATAAATCGCTGGTAGATTGGTACGACAGAGTATCGGCGGAGAAAGCAGAGTAGTTGCCACAGCCGTCGTCGTCAAAGGGCACCGTCGTCGGCGTCTGATCTCCGTCCATTCTAAAATACTTTAAGGCAGCGTAAAGACTTGATGTCGTATTGCCGTTGATGGAATCATATTAGCCGATTAGGGATTAGAAAAGTCAAGATACGTAGATAGGGCCATAAGGGGACATTTAGACAACAACACTAAATTTGGGATGGGCTGCCATTAATTGGGTTTTGGACTGGGCTTTGTTCCTTGAATTAATAGATTGGGCTTACATATATAAAATTTACATAATTAAATATAGTGGGCTCGGTTTTTCGGTCGGTTTCGGTTAATACTGCCCGAAACCGAAACCGAAAACCTGAATTAACCGACTTTTATATATACTAAAACCGAAACTGAAACCGAAACCGAAACCAAAATTTCGGTCGGTTCAGTTAAATCAAATCGGTTTACTGGTCGGTTCGGTTAAATTGCTCACCCCTAAATTCAACACAGATCAAATCTCTCTCTATCTATCATCTTTCTTTTAAAAATTATTATTGAAATATTTTATTTATTTTTATCATGAATACCTCTAGTTTTCTTCGTGTGGTCTCGAGTCAAACGAGTACACGATGTGGCTCTTCCGAGCGTACGGGAATAATCTGCCGTTGTTTGAAACACAAACATCCGTGAACCTCGATGACCCGGAGTCGGTTCGAGAGACTCAACCGGAACCAAAAAAAATGCACGCCAGAAGAGTCACAAAGCGAAAGGCGACAAACCGATGACTGAGGCGACACGGTCAATTCAAAAGTGGACGCCGAGGAAGAATCCTTGTTGGCGTCGGCTTGGGTTGACATCTCCGAGCATCCTATCATTGATAAAATTTATATGTTTTTTTAAATATATTTGTGTTCTTATTTATATATTTGTGTTAAAATGTTTTTATGTTTAATTATGTACTTTTTAAAGGTTCCGAGCAAACAAAGGATGCGATGTGGGATCGTATCGAGAAAGTTCTTTGCGGCGATGAACAAGAACACCTCATACAGACCCAAGACTAACTCACTTCTAAATGGGGGGCTACATCAACTCTAAAGTCTAAAAGTTTATCGGAATTTAAGAGGAATGCTATTGGTCCCAGAAGAGCGGGATGAATGATCTCGATCTTCTGCGGCAAGCCACCGTCCGGTATTAAGATGACTGGAACCAACGCAAGGTCGCCGTCAATCTTTGGAGAATTTTAAGCCGTTCACCCAAATGGTAACAACTCAACAACCCTGAGGCCAGATCTTCAAAGAAAATATCCTCCGCCGAGGTTGAGGCCGATGAGACTATCGACTCTTCAGAACAAAGGTCTCCCTTCAACCTCGACGACTCCAAGGACGATGACCTCATTCCACGACCGATGGGAAGGAAGAAGGCAAAATCCATTGTCTCAGGTTCTGGAGGGTTCGACTCCGTCTCCTCTCACGACGAAATCAGTCAGGCAATGATTGAAGAACTACGGGTGTTCAATATCAGGGACATGGAGAAACGAAAGCAACAAAAGGAAGAGATCGAAATAATGGAAACCGAGCTTGATACGTTATCGGGCTTTAAAATGAAGTTTTATTTCATTTAATTTTTGAAGATGTGTATTGAAAATGTATAAAAATAAAGGTTTGGAGCCCAGTTTGATGTCACGATGCTTCAAACCACTTCCAGTGAAATTATGAGGTTAGTTAAAACTGACGTGGTATAGAGAGAAATTTTGAAGCCCCGAGGCTTCATGGGTATTACCAATGCTCTAAGTCACACATTTTTTTCATAGAAGTAAAATGACTTAAAGAATAAATAAGTCCTTTATAAATATTCATAAATAGAGAAAGACACTTTTGTAAATAATCTCATCACAATAGAGAAATGAAAAAAAATGGTTTAAAAATAAGTAGCTAAGACCTACTTATTTTTTCTTACTTATAAGAAACTTATAAGTCAGTTTATAAGCACACAGAAATATGTCATCAGCTGACTTATAAGTTAAAAACTGTTAATAAGCAGTTTTGGCCAACTTATAAGCACGGAAAAACACCTACTTAGCAAAATACTCCATTCGTGTTGCTACAACAGGTGGTGTATAGGTGCAAAATCATACTTTGCTTGTTCCAGATAACAGCTTTCACCCGACTAACGAGCACACATAACAGCTTTCAATTCCATGTTTTTACAATCATACAAAACACTGAGATAAGAATATCAAATTTCAAGGAAAGAAACACGGTTGGTCAATTACAAGGTTCAACAAGGCTCATCTGTCTCTCCACAGTCAGGCTGCAATTGAATCTGTTATAGTAGGAACATACAAACCATGATGAATCTCAACTGCTTTCTTTCGCCTTGCTAGGCGAGACTTCCTCCGTGCACCTGTATTTTTGTGGAGGGTTCCAACCTTGACTGCTTTGTCAATAACCGAATATGCATCTGCAATCCATTTCTCCACACACAAAATCTCATCTGGCTGCACATCTTTCTTCTTCTTTATTATATCCAACTCTTCCAGCACCTTCCGTGTATATATACTAAATTGAATTAGCAGAAGGAAAAAAGACTCCAATAGAGAAAAACATAGGAAAAGAACCAAAATAGGACATTCGTGCTTTTATCTCCATAATAAGACTTATAGTTCCAATTTAGTGCCAGCACATATATCAAAAAAATACTATGTAATGTGTCAGTGCAATAATCCTATTTTGGGATAAAAACATGTCACTCCTATTTTAGAATAATGACTATGTTTTACTTTTGTTTCGGGTGATTTCATTAAGCAGAAATGCACATAGTAACAACTCTAGTAATAGCTTTTCATTGACTAGTCTTTGATTAATTCGATATACTTGAAAAAGTATTGCGTTAACTGCCTTTTATCATTAAGAAAGACTGCAGCAGTTGGAAATTATTACAGAAGCAATAGTGCAGTGCTCCTAATGAAGCAAAATGTTCAGACAAAGAGAACACTCTTATTTACCTGGTCTAAAGAAACAAGTTTGTAAAATGTAAAGAATATGCTAATAGTTAGTAATCAATAGAAACAACTGCGCGTGATGCTAGTATTTACAGAAGCATATGAATTAAAAAAAAGTTTTCAACTCCAATAACATAGCTCTAATGAATTTTCCGCTCACTAAAGCAAACACAAGTGCACAGCGATAGTGGGAGTGTTTCCGAAGTTTCTGTTTTTGCTTTTTTGTGAGACAATAAAGTGATTATTTAAGTAAAAGTGTAGTATTTGAACTTTGAATGTTTAAAGTTCTACTTAAAAGATTTTGAGTGCTAGCAAACCAAATCGACGTAAGTGCTTAAATTACGAGTAAAAGAAATATTTGTCCCTAAATAAAAAGGGAAAAGATGTTAGTCTGGACAAAACTGTAAAATTTGTTTTAAATAAGCAACAAGTAGAAACTAAAGCAGGTTTAGCAACCTGCATTTGGCCTTTTTCTTTTGAAGGTGAGAAGTGATAAGCACTTAATGCCAATAGCAAACACCTAAATTACTCAAAATCATTTCTCAAAAGCCATAAACAGTTCTAATGAAGTTTGAAAACACTCACATGATAAAAGAACAGCTGAAAGCATTCACTCTGGTAAACCAACAAACTAAGAAAGACTATCTCATCAACTGTTAGTAGCTCTATCCCCAACGAAAGAAAGTGGGGATTCGTTTCATTTTTCAAAGGTGATGTAATAGTCTAAAAGACGCTTCTTATAATGTTGAAAAACAATTGAACTTCTGTCAAAGAGGATTTTCTAAGTTTTGCAAATCCAAATTACATTGTGAAGGAGAGAGTGATCACTGGTCTAGCCTAAAAGCTTACTCCCTCTGTCCCATTTTATAGTGTCTGTTTTGGTTTATGATGTTTGACTTTATATTTTTAATTCCATTTATTTGAGAATTGAAGTAAATTAAAAAATATACATATTTAACAACTACATTTAAAGCTCTTCGAAACAAGAGATGACATGAGTACATGACTATATTATTTTATCAAATAGGTAGTGAAAACAATTAAAGAAAGTAAATAATGTTTAACCATGTGAATAATATATAGACAATTTAATTTGGGACAGAGAGGTATAGGCATGAGATATCGGCTAAAAGGTTGGACAAAGTGACAAGCACTAGTAAATTAGAGTGAACTATAATCAAACTGGAAAAAGGAGCAGTAAAATTAGGAGTGAATTGATGAAGAAGGCAAGACAGCAAGAACAAAGAGCAGATCAAAAGAAAGCAGCATTTAGTCCAAGAGCTCTTATTCATTTTTCTTTATTAACCAATTTATACCTTAAAGAAGAGGGCCAAAACCTCTTAATACCCAACCAATACTTTCTCAGGGTAGTGCTTTGATCATTAAAACAGTTAGTTTATATTTGACACCCCATTCTGTGCATCCAAGCACCCACTGAGAGAACAAAAATCCACGAAAACATCTAACCCCTGACAAGAAGCAATTTTATATTGTGGAAATCCATATAGAAAGGCAGGTGAAGACATTGAAGTACCACGCGGGCATAAAAAACTGAAATTGAAGTCAGGATAGAGCAAATTTTGAGGAATTGGGGAACACTTTTACCTTCTTCATTCGAGTTCTGATCTCTGATTTGCGAGCTCTATTATACATGCGCCTCTTCTCAGATTGCCGCGCCCTTTTAGCAGCCGAATCAGCCTTCTGCTTGGATTCGGCTTCGCACACAATGGACCGACCAATCTGTCTTTGCAAGGGCATCATCAACTTAGCGGCTCCTGAAAATCATTTTGAAGAAGGAAAATTACAAAATGTGTGGAACCATTTGCCAAAAGAGATGGACAATTCCGGCAAGCGAACAGCATTTTATACCATTCGAGAAGAGTTTGAGAGAAGTCTGCGCTGAGAAACTGGGGAAAGAAGCGTTTGAATGAGTTGCAGTAACAGTGAGATTCTGAAACCTCCCATTCAGGCTCCAGCAAGACGCAGACAAAGCAACACAAGCTCCCACCATTGGTTTCTCCCCTATCCACGGTTTCTGCGACTAAGAAGCCAAGAAGCTATCACTACTGAATATTATCCCAGAAAATTGATTTGGAAACATTAAAGTCGTCAATTCTTTCTTTCCACAATTCCACTGCGTAATGGGCTTCTATGAATATTAGTACTCCCAATCCTTTTTTTTCATCCGTCCCAAAAAACATTTCTCATTTCTATTAAAAAGTCACTTTTACCATTTATTTTTTCATACCCTACCTATCACATCAGACCTTTTTACTAATAATATATCCATCAAATCATATTTTTACCCATCACATCAAATGACATTTTTTGGAAATTCGATACCAAAATACACTCCCCTTAAATAATGTTTTCCGGGACGGAAGGAGTAGATTTTAAAATTTAGAAAGTTTACTACTCCCTCCGTCCTAAAATGTTTTTCCCAGTTACTTTTCACACGGTCAAACTTTAATCACTTTCTTTACCTATTTTCATTAGGTATTTGATAAAATAATATAGTCTTGTCACCTCTTGTTTTGTATAATTTTTGATGTAGTTTTTAAATATATAAATTTTATAACTACAATGAAATAAATTGAATTGAAAATAAAGTTGGTCAAACTTCGTAAACAGAAAAGAGAAGAACATTATAGGACGGAGGGAGTATATGTTTAAAAACTATATAAAAAAAATTTTAAAACAAGAGAAACATTACTTTATTATTTTGCTAAATATTTAATGAAAATAAATAAAGAAAGTGATTAAAGTTTGATACTGTGAATAGTGACTGGAAAAGACTTTTAGTACGGAGAAAGTAGGAATTAAGCTACTTTTACCCCAAAATTTGTACCTTAAATTATACATAGTAGGTATGCTGTATGCACCTTCATTGTTTGCAAGTTTGATTATAAGTTTTAAAATTTAGAAAATTTATGTATTTGAAAACTATATCAAAAATTTTAAAAACAAGAGAAACATTAATACCTCCTCTATCCAATATCTTTCTTTTTACTTTCCTTTTTTGGGTCGTCCAATTTGATTTTTCTTATTTCCTAAAATGGAAAGAAGATACATTTGAGATTACTATTTTACCTTACTTTTTTGGACCGTGCTACAGTGCACCCACCCCTGCCTCCTTTGTTGCCTCTTTATTTAAGCTTTTTTTTACCTTTTCTTCTTCTTTTTTTTCTTTTTTCTTTCCTCTACGACCCGTTCGCAGGTCGCCGCCGGCCAGTTACCTTACCTTTTGCCGTCGACCTGTTCCCAGTCCCTCACCCCACCCTTCGCCGGTCTGTACTCGCCGGCCAGTTACCCTTCACCGTCGATCTCTCCTTAGCCGCCGACCCAGCCTCTTCCTTCGCGGCCGACCAGCCACCACCACCGCCGGCTACCCCGCCTCTTGCAACAGCGGAACCACCCCAGCCCCCTCCCCCATAGCCCCTAGTCAATACA